TTTCTATCATCACCTATTTCTCATCACCTAATCATCATCACCTGTTTCTCATCACCTAATTATCATCACCATTATATCCTCACCTTTCTCTTATCACATTCGTTCAACACACATCAACTATTTCATCTACCCATGTTCTACCCAACATATTTGTAGATATAAATTACATATATAGTTTAAATCATTTAACACCCATATAAAAACATCAATTCCAAGCCCATCTCATATAGACAATTAATATATAACACATAGCACGTATTTCATAGCTAATGCTTTATATTTATGTGTTTAGAAGAGAGTAACCGCACACTCACACATATAAACCACAATATATATACACATAACACGTATTTCGTATAAAATACTTCATAATTATGCGTTAGAAGAAAGTAACTACACACTCACTTGATCAGAAGATGACCGGACAGCACTACGGCTTGTAGAAGTAGTATTCTTTGGTAGATCTGGAAGATCTTCACAAAAACCGGACTCCTCGCGGGCAGAGCTTTGGCTCGGGAATTGCACTTCTCAGGATCTTCGGGGTCTCGGGACTTGCTTTGGGGTTCGGGAATGATACCGGGGCTTCGGGATATTTCTTGCACGAAAAACGATGCAAAAACGCGAGAAAACGGGAAGAAATGAGCAACTGAATCGGCTGCACTCGACTTCCTTTTATAGGGGGCTGAAGCCCGATTTACGCGGGGCGTAAATTTCATTATGTAGGGCGTAACGACGATAAGGTCGCTGACTCCCCCCATGGATAATATCGGCCAATTTTTATTTAAATTAAATATCGAAATTATTAAATAAACTTCAAAAATTCATATCTTCCTCATACGAACTCCATTTTCGACGTTCTTTATATCCACGCGTAGGTGAGACTACGATCTACAACTTTCATTTAGACTCCATTGGCTAATTTTGATTTCATTTTGATTATTTATTTTTAGTAGGCCGGGACAGGAAAACTCCGTTATAAAATCATAATTTCTTCATCCGACGTCCGTTTTCGCCTATCTTTTTATCGTTTTAGTACAATTAATGAGATCTTCAATTCTCATTTAGATTGTTTCGGCTAAAAACCGCTCGGTCTCAAATCGAGCATTCGGGCTGCATACGGCTAAGTCGAAACTTCGAAAAATCATAACTTGCTCATACGAAGTCAGATTTGGGCGTTCTTTTTATGCACGCTCATGGTTTAACGTATTCTACGACTGTCATTTAGATTGCTAAGGCTAAATATCGCTCTAACGTAAATTTACTTTTTACATCGCGCTGTTTCGTGCCGGTTCTGTCGCGAAACTTCGACAGGTCATAACTTCTTCGTTATAACTCGGATTTCGACATTCTTTATATGTACGGAAACCTTGTAACATATACTATAACTTAGTTAAGATTATTCATTCTAAATAATCCTTCATAAAAAATTCATTTTTGACGTCTATCGTCTCTAAATTGACTAGCCCAAATCTACGGGCGTTACAATTATCTCCCCCTTAGGATGATTACGTCCCGGAATCATCAACAAAATAGTATTCGTATACTGACTCCATAAGTTATCTCTCCATCCTAAGTAATAACCTTGATGCTCAATCATGCATCTACTCTTCGTACTATGTTGGACTTTCAATCGAAATCTTAAAGTTACAAAAATAAATCCTTATTGTGGACTCCTTCTTCTTCTTAGGGTAAATACATTCATTTATCTATTTTAACTAACCGATGGGTCGAGTCCCGATGACCTCTCATCGTAGTCGGACTCAATTTAATATGACCACTAGGGTCGGAATAACCATCATCCCACTAGCCATTACCGAAACAAGGGTAATGACAAACTTGAATAAAACGAAATCAATTACTAGCTTCTTGGTAACCTTGCGACTTTTCCTGATCCAAGTGCGAGTCCTGTGCTTCCGGTAGTATAGATCTCTACTACCATTCACACCTACTCATACTCGTCCCAAGTATTGTCTCGCAGTTAACCAAGTCACCATACATAAATCATATAATCATTCAACACACCAGATAACAAAACCAGGGTTTATATTAATTCTTGAAACTATTACACAAAAGTTCAAGTTCACCCTATACTATGCCTCTAATAGGCTACATCATAAGTTACTATTCACACTGTTACTTCATAACTTGATCGTTGGATATAAAATCCTCATCCTTGATTCGCTTTGTCGAGGATCATGTGGAATGCCCTTGGTTGTGGCAGTACATTTTTCTTTGAAGCTTTGTCCTTCTTTGGGCAGTTCTTCGAAATATGACCACCATCTCCACATTCGTAACACTTCCTATTGTCGAACGTACAATCTCTGGAATAGTGACCGATCCTACCACACTTATAGCAGGTCACTTCTCCATCGCATCTTCCGAAGTGCTTCTTCTTGCACTTTTCACACCACTTGGTTTCATCTTTTCCTCCGGATTTCGAGAGTTTGGTTTCTTTGTCGATCATTGAAGATCCCTTGTGTTTCCTTTTCCCTCCAACTTCAACTCTCTCTAGACCCTTTTCCCTTATTTGGGTCTCAACATTCTTGGCTACCCAGATGGCGACTTTCAGAGTGGTTGCTTGCTTGACTATCGGACCAAAGTCCGCTGGTAATCCATTGGAAAACTTGTTGACCTTGGAAAGTTCAGTTGGAATTAGGTATGGAATAAGCTTCATCTTCTCCGTAAAGCTTGTAGCGTATTCAGTGACGCTCAATTTTCCCTTTTTTAAATTCTGGAACTCATTGTTGATTTCCAGAAGATCCTGCTCAGAGCAGTATTGCATTTTCATTTGCTCCACGAACTCTTCCCAAGACATCTTGCTAGCTTCCCCCTTGGGCATTGAACCAACCAGTAACTTCCACCAGCTCAGTACTCCAGATTTGAACAGAGGGATTGCAAGAGCGGTCTTCTGTCTGTTGCTACACTCGCAACTTTCAAACATTATCTCCATCTCGGAGATCCAGTCCATGACTTGCACCGGTGTCGGGCTCCCAGAAAGACATGGTGGTTTGGATGCCATGAAATCCTTGTACTTGCATCCACGTCCATCATTGTCTCCATCCTGATTGTTTCGGCGAACTATTGGTGGGTTGGCTTGACCAATGGTCCCACTATAGTTCCCTTCTTCCGACTGCCCCTCATTCAGCTTAGGTTGTTCAATTGGTATTGAGGGTTCACTCCTGTTGTTCAGCAACAATTGTCTCATTTCCTCCTTTTGTTCAGCCATCATGGCTTGAATCATGGTTCGCACTCCAGCCATTGTAATTTGTTCAGGTGTTGCTTCTACAACAGCCACTCGCTCAACCACAGGTGGTTGATTCCTATTTTCGTTCACGTTTCCAACTCCACTCCCGGTTCTTGTCATTTTTGATCTATACACCGAATAAGGTGAAATTAGATCCTTATTCACGATAGATATTCAAATCATCCTTATCACTCCGAAACGTTTACATGCTAGTTCTAATATCGTAGACGTACACTTAGAATCCTACACACATAAGGTTTCAAGATCCGGTCGGCAACAGACCATAGATCCGAACAAATAATATCATATATGGCAACATATAACATTTAGCACATAAAAGCATTTTAGGCATCGCTCCTAAAATAAACTAGTGCTTGTGTCAATTTAGGTGTACTACCTAACATATTTAGACACACTCCTCACAATCATTACTTAGCATTCTAAGTTTAAGTCTAGAAATTTCCTACAATTTCCTAGTTCGCTTAAACTAATGCTCTGATACCAACTGTGACATCCCCATTTTCACGGCCAGAAAAGACTGATTTGTTTATGCTTTGTTTTATAAAATCAGAGTAATCTTTTAAAGAAAACGGTTGCGGAATTTGTTTCCAAAACAAGATATGATAATAACTTATCAAAACATTTCTCAAAGAGAATGTATTTTCATTTAATAATAAAACATCGGGATGTCATGTTCCGATATAGACATATAAGCTTAAACAGAACTTACATTCAATTACACTAATGATTTACATCTCCTTTAATCTCTCAGTGCAAAGCAGCTTCGTATCGATACCTGTGATACAATTAAATTGAGTGGGTCAGGCTTAGGAGCCTGGTGAGCATATAGGGTTTTCAATCCACAATAATATAATTATTATATTCAATCATCAAACAATCAACCCAATTATCCATCCCCGTTATCTCCATTTATTTCTTAAGTACCTTCCCCAAGGAATTATCCTAAGGGTCATCTCTTACATCATATTTACCTCTCATCTCCTTACATCACGTTTCCTTGTATGTTTGTTCCTAAGGATTTTTTTCCTACGGATCATCGCATGAATACGTAGTCACAACATCGCCTGGACTAGTAAGTCATAATAAGGGTTAGACTATCATTGCATGAATACATAGCCACAACATCGCCTGGACTCGTAATTCATCACCTACAGGTTATGAGCCTGCTGGTGTTTCCACGGGGTCATCTAGAATAGTCCATGGTCGCCATCTATACTCTGGTAGATGACTACATCGCCAAATTTCCACATCACCGGTCAAGGTTATGGTATCTCCTCTCATCTCACATCACCTATTTATCATTACCTAATTATCATCACCTTTCTATCATCACCTATTTCTCATCACCTAATCATCATCACCTGTTTCTCATCACCTAATTATCATCACCATTATATCCTCACCTTTCTCTTATCACATTCGTTCAACACACATCAACTATTTCATCTACCCATGTTCTACCCAACATATTTGTAGATATAAATTACATATATAGTTTAAATCATTTAACACCCATATAAAAACATCAATTCCAAGCCCATCTCATATAGACAATTAATATATACACATAGCACGTATTTCATAGCTAATGCTTTATATTTATGTGTTTAGAAGAGAGTAACCGCACACTCATACATATAAACCACAATATATATATATATATATATATATATATATATATATATATATATATACACACACATAACACGTATTTCGTATAAAATACTTCATAATTATGCGTTAGAAGAAAGTAACTACACACTCACTTGATCAGAAGATGATCGGACAACACTACGGCTTGTAGAAGTAGTATTCTTCGGTAGATCTGGAAGATCTTCACAAAAACCGGGCTCCTCGCGGGCGGAGCTTCGGCTCGGGAATTGCACTTCTCGGGATCTTTGGGGCCTCAGGACTTGCTTCAGGGCTCGGGAATGATACCGGGGCTTCGGGATATTTCTTGCACGAAAAACGATGCAAAAACGCGAGAAAACGGGAAGAAATGAGCAACTGAATCGGTTGCACTCGACTTCCTTTTATAGGGGGCTGAAGCCCGATTTACGCGGGGCGTAAATTTCATTACGCAGGGCGTAACGACGAGAAGGTCGCTGACTCCCCCCATGGATAATATCGGCCAATTTTTATGTAAATTAAATATCGAAATTATTAAATAAACTTTAAAAATTCATATCTTCCTCGTACGAATTCCGTTTTCGACGTTATTTATATCCACGCGTAGGTGAGACTACGATCTACAAATTTCGTTAGACTCTATCGGCTAATTTTGACTTTATTTTTATTATTTATGTTTAGTAGTTTGGGACAGGAAAACTTCATTATAAAATCATAACTTCTTCATCCGACGTCCGTTTTCGCCTGCCTTTTTATCGTTTTACTACAATTAATGAGATCTTCAGTTCTCATTTATATTGTTTCGGCTAAAAACCGCTCGGTCTCAAATCGAGCATTCGGGCTGCATACTGCTAAGTCGAAACTTCGAAAAATCATAACTTCCTCATACGAAGTCAGATTTGGGCGTTCTTTTTATGCACGCTCATGGTTTAACGCATTATACGACTTTCATTTAGATTGCTAAGGCTAAATATCGCTCTAACGTAAATTCACTTTTTACGTCGCGCTGTGTCGTGCCGGTTCTGTCGCAAAACTTCGACAGGTCATAACTTCTTCGTTATAACTCGGATTTCAGCGTTCTTTATATGTACGAAAACCTTGTAACATATAATATAACTTAGTTAAGATTATTCATTCTAAATAATCTTTCATCAAAAATTCATTTTTGACGCCTATCGTCTCTAAATTGACTAGCCCGAATCTACGGGTGTTACAGTGCCCACTAATGATACGCTCACCCATTGACTTTGCCCTAGCAACCTTTTGCAATGACATTCCTACCTCCAGTTTCTTGCACAACTCTTCGTGTAAAGCTTTCACTGGAATTTTAGTGTTACTTTGTATTTGTTGAACAATTAAGTTTGCTACGTATCTGGAAGTGCAAGCTTTAACCGCCCTTGTTTGCAAACATTTATGCTCATCCTGTACTATTTTCACCAACCAATCCTGATTTTCATTAGCCCTCGATATTTGGACTGCCCATGGACATGTACCTTTATTGGCAATTACATCTTTACCCTTGCACTTTGCCCTACTTCTAGTTGAGGGCCCACCACCATCAACTCCTGTAGAAGGCTTACTTACAGCACCTTTACATTTCACCCTAATCCGGATTTTGTCATTTTTGGCTAGGTATAAAGTCCTCCTTGTTGCTACAGCATGTGAGCTCATGTAGTTTTTAACATCAAGCTTGGTTTTGAAGACCTGACCAATCTGAAATGGTTTAACATGAACCTCTCCATGTGAGCATATACTTGACTTACTCAACTCTTTTAGCAATCTCTTCCTATCATCTTCATGAAATCCTGCAAATTGATAATCATTAGTGGCAATAACTTCCAACTCATCATCAACCATGTCAATCCCTTCATCTTTTGAATGATTGTTCAAGATTCCATGTTCATCTACATCAACAACATTATGGAATTCACTCATGTCTACATCTACATCAAATTGTATGTTAGACTCATCCACATTGTATTCACTGTCATTAGAATCATCTCCACTATCCTCAGAACCATGGCCACTCTCAGAGTAGAAAGCTTCTCCACTATCATCACTCACCATACCCTCTAGATAATCCACTTCTGGTTGTTTTTCAAATGAAGTTTCAACATTAAACTGAGCATCATAATCAACATAAAGTGAGTAATCCTCTATAAATGGTTCATAATCATCAATTGTTGTAGTATTAGCTCCATCATCTGCTTCGCAACTTGGTTCCTGTACATGGTAAGTTCCCAATGCTTCTTCAGTTTCAACTGCACTAGTGATCACTTCTTCTTGAGTTTCAATTTCATGATTCACCACTTCCTTTTGAATGACATGACTTTGTTTACCTTGTGACCTTATAAATGGTATAATACTCTTTGAGTAATCATGGCCTTCATCAACATCTAACACTTGTGACTGCTCATAATCAGGGTTCATAGACTTGTTTAGATCAAGCTTTCTACTACATGATCCTGCTTCTCTCCTACAAGGTTTCTTTCTATTCATTTCAGGTGACACACTATCAGGCTCCAACTCTTCAATAACAACTTTAGAAAGAGACTTGTAATAAGTAGCTACCCTTGCCTGACCAGTTTCAATATACACCCTAATAAGTCTGTGTTTAGGGACATATGATATCATTTTAAGTACATCTTGATCATTACCTAAAGGCATTAAGCCATAGTCCAAAGGGTATTCAGGGATACGGAAATGGTAGTAAAGGGTTTGCTCAGTTTTGTACCCTAGTTCTCGAACCATGTCGTCAAGCTCATGAACTGAAAATAAATCAGTATCAACATCATCTACATATTCTACAACACCATCAACGTATTTCCTTCCAGGTGCTTTGGTGAAGACACCACTGTAGTGTATCTTCAATGTGAAATAGTTGTCATAACCTTCTATAAACACAAAAAAAAAAGAGTAAAATCAATGATTTCCTTACGTCAACACAATAGACCAAGAAAAAACAAGTTTTGTTGTAGTATTGTACCGTATCTTTTTCCTAAGTCCTCCACGGTTACAAATTTTTCTCGAAAACACCATATTGATAGCACCATTGCAATTTCTGCAGCTGAAAACCCTAAATCCCAATTTCTGTTCTTGCTTCTACGATGGGAATGAACCCGATGACTAAACCTGTAACTGGTTATCTTCTTGGGAGAGAGACGGGTAGTGATGTGCAAGCAACAGGTAATCATTTCATATTAAAGAGAGAAGGTTACAACTAAAATGATGAAATTACCCCTGCAATATTTTATTAAAAAATGAGTTAACAGTGAAATGCTAACGGAGTGAGCCGGAAGGATCATTTGTTAAAAGTTTTGAAATCACAGGGACCATCTGTGAGGTTTTTTGAACTTGGGGACTAAACTTGATATTTTTGGAAACCATATGGATCATTTTTGAAGTTTTGTCTTTTAAAAATTATAAAAATGGAAAATTTGCAAAATGGTAGGATTTAATGGCAAATTTGTAAATTTTGCCATAGCAGCTCCAATATTTGTAATTGTTTTAATCTTGAAAGATGATTTGATTTTCTCTCGTTAGCGTTTAGAAGGTGTGATCAAATCAAGAAAAAAAAATGTATATAATATTAACAATGGCTTTGCACTTGGATGACATTGTCATGGTTGAGTAGATTTTTAGAAGCACAATGTCATAATATAATAATTGAAGGAAATAAATTTCAAATTGGACCAATCTTGCCAAATTTTGGTGTTGTAACTACATAAGTTCCCAAACCTTCTAAGAATGATTACGCTGTTTTAGATCATATTATTCTTTTTCCTTGGCTTCTTATCGAAGAGACAAACTATATAAAATAGCAGTGTAATTTACTGTTGGTATCGATGCAGACAATTTACTTCACTTTTCACAGATAATAGAAATGTGCCACAGAAAAACAATTTGATCGATGGTCTTAGTAGTTTAGTGGGGTACAAATTAAGTATAACTACAATTTTGCCTTTGAATGCATTAATTCAATTTAATCCATCATTACAATTCTCTCTCATATCCTCGTTAATTTTAGTTCCATATCATAGTTAATCATAAAAGCTAAAACACCCACATCAAATCTTTAGATTTAGAGAGTGTTGAAGATCTCCAACATGAAGAACATGTACTCCCAAAGGAACCTTCTTATTGCCATCTTCATCAACCACACTTAGATGGTTGCATACATCAACCTTGAAGCTAACCGTTGTCCATTGTCGCGAAGCCAAGACCACCTTCTGAAAATCCAATAACTTCTTTTGAGGTGCATCATGGATCGTTGGAGGAGATGAGAACAAGAACACTATATGGCTTCCCTCCATGTTTCCCACATTCATTACCCTAAGCTTAACTTCAAATACTAAATTTCTACAAACATGTTCCAATGCATCGAGCGATTTACATTCGGATGACCAACAAACGTGACCTTCTTCTAGTGGGATTGACACGAACTTTGGCGCTTTAACTAGATGATGAGCATGTGAAGAATAGCTTAGCCCATGTCCAAATGGATAAACTGTTTCTCCTTTGTAGAATCTGTAGGTGTAACCAGGGTGACCTGTGGTTAGATCGGGTCTCATGTTCATGTTAGTCATCGCCACCTTCTCAGCAAAAGATTGTGGATACCATGTCATGGGTAGTCTTCCACCTACAAATATATGCAAAACCTCTAAAACTTCGAACAAAAAATTAGGGTTCATGTGAAAGATATCAAATCTTACTTGGATTAAATCGGCCGAAAACAATGTCAGCTAAAGCAGCTCCACCAGCTTCACCAGGAAACCCGACCCATAAAATGCTTGTTACATTTGGATTATCCTTCGCAAACTGGATATCCATTCCTCCTCCCGACATTATAACAAGAATCACAGGTCCTCTAGACACGGATGCAACTTGTGAGACAAGAAAGCTTTGTTGACCAGGTAGGGTTATATCGATTCTATCTATAGTTTCCGCCTCTATAGAGAGATCCGAACCCATTACTAGAACAACCGCATCTGCTTCCGCTGCTACTTTCTTGGCCTCTGCGATTCGCACAATGAAGCAGGTCACATTTACACAACCTGGTTCGTATATGGTTTTAACCGATGCTGATAACCCTTGTAGAGGAGTTGTGTATTGACATGGAACACCTGGATTCGATCAAATATTCTGAACCTTTAGTAACACAACACAAAACCCTAATGAATGTAAATGGTCGATTGAAAATATATAAAAAGATCAATGCTTTTCCACTATCGATATATATACCTGCATAGTTGCCGATCATGGTTTCTGTGGCATTAGCATTGGGTCCGATAACAGCTAGAGACTTGATGGATGTTGGAATGAGTGGCAATGATGATCGAGGCGTGTTTTTCAGCAACACGATTCCTTGTCTAGCAGCTTCACGAGCTAGCTCCTGGTTAGCCGGAGTGCACACGTCTTTGGGACCTAGACTCCCATAAACTTGCTTGCTTGGGTTACCATCGAAAAAGCCGAGTCTCATAAGTGTCTCGAAGTTGTTGGAAACAGCTCTATCAACTACTGATTCTTTCACTAATCCAGCTTTTATAGCACCTTCTGTGTGGAATCTTAGTGAATTGCCACAGTTTAGGTCTACTCCTGAAAAGTTACTCGATGTGTTTGGTATGTTTCGTAACGTTTTATTATTTATGTACATGTACAACTTTTGTTAGTTACCTGCATTTAAAGCATCAGCCGCGATTTCCTCTGGCGTTTTTTCCCAATGATGTGATGTAAGCATGACGTCTAATGAATCGCAGTCAGAACTTACGTATCTGCAAAACGTTAATTTAACATATTTTTTAGAGTATGTAAAGTGAATGTTTGCCTTAGTAAAAAAGTAAAAGAAATCAAGACTCGAACATATAGACAACATATAGGTATATGGGGACTTCAATAATGGAGTTGGAAATGTTTTGTTGTTCTCAATTAATTTGTAGTTTGACCCCTCAATTTTTGAGAAGTTAATAAAGAAGCTGTAAATTTTGGAGATATATTGTCATAAGCCTTCTCTAAGCTTTATAAAGCCCAACAAGGCATCAACCATCCTATATTTCACAAACAACCGATATGGGACTTAATGTTGATGGTCTTTTATTTCGTGTTGCTTTGAAATTCTAATAAATCAAGCCTTGACAAGTCTTGAATTTTTTTTTATCATAATACCTTATAATTTTACATGTTAAAATTAAAAAAAAAAATAATATATATATATATATTTTTTTAAATTCAAAAGAATATTCAATGAAAATTTGGTCTAAAAACTCTGTGATCACTAGTGAAATCCTGGGTCAGCCCATGAACATGACCCATTAGGTAGACATTGTCATATGTTGAGTCCCTAGGTGAGGTAAACCAAACAAAAAGAATGAGAGAGAAATAAAATATTCGGATTTAAAAGTTACCCATTTAATTTCCATTTTCCCCGAATCACTCCTTTTAAAAGATCAGGATCACCACAGGTTGGCTTCCCGTTAACTTCGTTGTAAGAACACATAACGCTTGCAACATTTCCATCCAAAACACAACTTTTAAACGGAGGTTGAAATGTATCCTCCATATCTTGCTTTGTAACCTTAAAGATCAAAACAAACAAAATGGTAAATATTCTTTATATAAACATATACATATTTAAAACATTATAAATAACAAGGTCATATTTTCGAAAAAATAAAATGTACCACAGCATTGAAATGATACCGATCGGTGCCATTCCAATTATCAACATCATATGCAGTGTAATGCTTACAAGAAGCTCCAACTTTGAGTCGTTTTTTATCGCCATCATCTCTTTCTTGTAAACCTTGAACAAAAGCCACTGCGTATTTGCTTGTTAAAGTCGGGTCTTCTCCTGGAGTTTCCTGCCCTCTTCCCCATCTAGGGTCTCGAAAAATGTTTACATTCGGTGACCAAAATGTTAACCCCGCTAAACCCATATTGTACATCGCTCGTGCTTCAGTAGAAACCACCTACTAATCAAAGAATCATAACTAAAATAACAAAATTTTTGACAGTTTCTTTGTAGAATTAGAAAGATCGATCACCTCTCCAATGGTTCTGAATAATGTTTCGTTGAATGAGGCTGCGGTGAGGATGACTTGAGGGAAGCTGGTGGCTCCGGGGACCAAACTAGAGAAGAAGGTTGCGGGTCCGGTTTTAGAAACACCATGCAAAGCCTCGGACCACCACCCGTAGCCTGGTATCCCGAGACGATCAACACTGGTAGCGTTGTTAACCAAGTTTCCTATTTTCTCTTCCAAAGTCAATCTCTTTACAAGATCATTCACCCTCGTTTTTATATCCAATGAAGCATCACAGAACGAAAATTTCTTCAAGGTTGGATCTTTATCGATGTCGCAAGCAAAAAGAGGTGGATTCTGTGCAGCAGCATACATCCACTGTGATGATAAAACAGAAAGAATAAAGACAATGGCGAGAACATGAGGATTCGCAGCCATATTGCTACTATTCTGGAGTGGAAGACAGAGAGTGAAGGAATGGCGGGTTTTTTATAGAAAGAATTGTTTGGTAGCCACCCGTGATGGAGTGAGATTAGGGTTCGCGACAGGCTGGTTTTCGTGTGATTCGCTCTCATCTGTTTCTTATATCTATCTTGTTACGCTTAATAGATCAATTTGAGTGCGATAATAATGACGATCGGTATTCATAATACTCGGTAAGATCAATCTTTCAGAAAATTAAACGGCTTATTTAGAGTTCGGATATCTAAAATGAATATTATCTATTTAAAGTCGATATGTAGCATGGTCTCTATGTATTGTTTGCAACCTTTTGTCATTGAATACATATATGTCGAGGATCACATGGTTTCTATATCTATTATTTTAAAAGAATATATATAGTAATAAAAATCATTATTCGTTTCCCTTGCAATGGTATTATTGCCTTCAAATACATAAAAAGCTTGTGTTGTCATGCAATTTATCTTTTGCTTTCATGCCATTTTTGTTAAATACAAAATGCATGAGGAAATAATGGCATATATTTCACGTGGTCTTGTTGGTATAGGTTAAAGTAACTTAATTATATTATCGTAGGCATATATAATATGAAAGGAGGCCTCTACAGTTTATAAAAAGATTTAAAAAGAGCAAGCAACTATTATAAAACGTTAATACCCCGTTTCTGAGTTCAACTTAATGAGAGAAAACAAATGAAATGAATGGAAGTGAGGAAA